GTTCTTGTTATTATTGGAAACAATGACATAAACAGCAAAACGGATGAAGAAATCCTTCATAATATAAAAATAATCAAAATTGCACTAAAGAAAGATGTGAATTTTGAAAATTTGCGGGTTGTTGCCTCGGCGAGATCACCCAATGCAGTTCAATCACTCTGAAAATACATGGGAAAATCCGGTCAAACGGCTAAACAACAAACTTAGAAAGCTATATCCGAAGAATATGCCTCACCTGCGTGTTTCAAATTGGAAGACACTTCGTTCTAGAAGATGGTGCCCATCTGAATGATATCGGACAAAAGCATATGTCCCAATTTGTACTAAAATGGTGCCAAATTTTCAATAATTTTGCTTGAAACTACTATTGTAATAGGTTCTCGTTTCCCTTTTTTAAATAGATTTTTATCTTTCAACGCTGTTTTAAAAAAGTAAGATCCTAACATATTAGCATGCTATCAAACGTTAACGGATCAAAAAAGATCTTTGGAGACTTCTTAACTCGAAAAATAAAATAAAATTACGTTAAAAAGTTGGTGCAAGTCATTCTAGTAATAGCCGGAAAATGGTTTTGAAACAGCTGGCAAAATGTTTTGAAAAATTTGCGCAAGTTCAACTTGTGATTTTGCTGACCTGCGTGACGATGCTACAATTTTTTCTATAATCTGACTGGATTTCTCTAAAACCGCTAGATCAAGTGAAGTTAGGTTATGTCGTCAGTTTTTAAAATACTAATTTTTGGATTATGATCCAACTTGCATGTGAAGATAAGTCTGCCAGTTTCTTCCAAGTGAAGATGTAGTTTCGGTCGTGATTTGTCATTGATCAGTTCTGAAAACTTCAAAGCATTTGTGACTCATGACTTTTTTCTTAAGTAACATAAGAAAGTGGAAGCACTGCAGTTAATCGATAAACTTTTAGTGAAAGTTTGGTGCAAGCTATTTTCTTAGTGAAAGTTTGGTGCAAGCCATTCTATTAGTGAAAGTTTGGTGCCAGCCATTTTATTAATGAAAGTTTGGTGCAAGCAATTATATTAGTGAAAGTTTGGTGCAAGCCATTCTATTAGTGGAAGTTTGGTGCAAGCCATTCTATTAGTGAAAGTTTGGTGCGAGCCATTCTATTTGTGCAAGTTTGCTGCAAGCCATTCTATAAGTGAAAGTTTTGTGCGAGCCATTCCTTTAGTGAAAGTTTGGTGCAAGCCATTCTATTAGTGAAAGTTTGGTGCAAGCCATTCTATTAGTGAAAGTTAGGTGCAAGCCATTCTATTAGTGAAAGTTTGGTGCAAACCCTTCTGTTAGTGAAAGTTCGGTGCAAGCCATTCTATTAGTCAAAGTTTGGTGCTTGTCATTCAATTAATAGCCGGGTTAGTTGCAATTCAAGGTATGTATATGTTTGTTGATTCATTTATTTACATTTAAATAAATTCTTGTTTTTGCGTTAATTTCTTGAGCTTCATTTTGTCATGTACTGTCGAAAAAAATTAATGAATTTGACCAAAACTTAAATTGTCAGAAAGTTTTGTTTCTACTGATTTATGTGCTGGACCAATGAAGTTCGTTGAAGAGTATGATACAAGCTTCAAATGATCTGACTGGTTTCCCTGGAAGCGCTGGATCGAAAGATTGTAAGTCTCTTTGATTGTCCTCAAAGTCAGTTTAAATTAATATTTGAGTACTTTTGAGTGTTCTTGGAGATCAGTTTTCTTATTTTTTAAGGAAGTATTTTTTTGTACAAATAATTCAACTTTTCTTAGTGAAAGTTTGGTGCAAGGCATTCTGTTAGTGAAAGTTTGGTGCAAGCTATTCTATTAGTGAAAGTTTGGTGCAAGCCATTCTAATAGTGAAAGTTTGGCGCAAGCCATTCTATTAGTGAATGTTTGGTGCAAGCCATTCTGTTAGTGAAAGTTTGGTGCAAGCCATTCTATTAGTTAAAGTTTGGCGCAAGCAATTCTATTAGTGAATGTTTGGTGCAAGCCATTCTGTTGGTGAAAGTTTGGTGCAAGCCATTCTTTTAGTCAAAGTTTGGTGCATGTCATTAAATTAATAGCCGACGTTAGTTGTAATTCAATGTATGTTCATGTTTGTTGATTCATTTAATGGCATTTAAATAAGTTCTCGTTTTTGCGTTAATTTCTTGAGCTTCATTTTGTCACGTGCTGTCGAAAAAAAAATTAATAAATTCGACCAAAATTTAAATTGTCAGGTTGTTTTGTTTCTACTGAATTATGTGCTGGGCCAATGAAATTCGTTGAAGAGTATGATACAAGCTTCAAATTATCTGACTGGTTTCCCTGGAAGTGCCGGATCAAAAGATTGTAAGTCATTTTTTTTGTCATCAAAGTCAGTTTAAATTCATATTTGAGTAATTTTGAGTGTTTTTGGAGATCAGTATTTTTATTTTTTTAAGGAATTAATTTATTTTTCGTACAAATAGTTCAAGTTTTCTTAGTGAAAAATTGGTGCAATCCATTCAATTAGTGAAAGTTTGGTGCAAGCTATTCTATTAGTGAAAGTTTGGTGCAAGCCATTCTACTAGTGAAAGTTTGGCGCAAGCCATTCTAATAGTGAAAGTTTGGTGCAAGCCATTCTGTTAGTGAAAGTTTGGTGCAAGCCATTCTATTAGTGAAAGTTTGGTGCAAGCCATTCTATTAGTCAAAGTTTTGTGCATGTTATTCAATTAATAGCCGGCGTTAGTTGCAATTCAAGGTATATTTATGTTTGTTGATTCATTTATTGACATTTAAATAAGTTCTTGTTTTTGCGATAATTTCTTGAGCTTCAGTTTGTCACGTTCTGTCGAAAAAAAAAATTTGACCTAAATTTAAATTGTCAGAATGTTTTCTTTCTATTGATTTATGTGCTGGACCAATAAAGTTCGTTGAAGAGTATGATACAAGCTTCAAATGATCTGACTGGGTTCCCTGGAAGCGCTGGATCAAAAGATTGTAGGTTATTTTGTTTGTCCTCAAAGTCAATTTAAATTAATATTTGAGTAATTTGGAGGGTTTTTGAAGATCAGTATTCGTATTTTTTTAAGGAAGTAGTTTTTTTTCGTACAAATAGTTCAAACGTTCTTAGTTAGAGTTTGGTGCAAGCCATTCTATTAGTGAAAGTTTGGTGCAAGCTATTCTATTGGTGAAAGTTTGATGCAAGCCATTCTATTAGTGAAAGTTTGGTGCCAGCCATTTTATTAGTGAAAGTTTGGTGCAAGCAATTATAATAGTGAAAATTTGGTGCAAGCCATTCTATTAGTGAAAGTTTGGTGCAAGCTATTCTATTAGTGAAAGTTTGGTGCAAGCTATTCTGTTAGTGAAAGTTTGGTGCAAGCCATTCTATTAGTGAAAGTTTGGCGTAAGCCATTCTAATAGTGAAAATTTGGTGCAAGCCATTCTGTTAGTGAAAGTTTGGTGCAAGCTATTCTATTAGTCAAAGTTTTGTGCATGTTATTCAGTTAATAGCCGGCGTTAGTTGCAATTTAAGGTATATTTATGTTTGTTGATTCATATATTGACATTTAAATAAGTTCTTGTTTTTGCGCTAATTTCTTGGGCTTCAATTTGTCACGTTCTGTCGAAAAAAATTATAATTATTAACCAAAGTTTAAATTGTCAGAATGTTTTTTTTTTCTATTGATTTATGTGCTGGACCAACAAAGTTCGTTGAAGAGTATGATACAAGCTTCAAATGATCTGACTGGTTTCCCCGGAAGCGCTGGATCAAAAGATTGTAAGTCATTTTGTTTGCCTTCAAAGTCAGTTTAAATTAATATTTGAGTAATTTTGAGTGTTTTTGAAGATCAGTATTCAAATTTTGTTTATGAAGTAATCTTTTTTTCGTACAAATAGTTCAAATTTTCTTAGTTAGAGTTTGGTGCAAACCATTCTATTAGTGAAAGTTTGGTGCAAGCTATTCTATTAGTGAAAGTTTCGTGCAAGCCATTCTATTAGTGAAAGTTTGGTGCATGCCATTTTATTAGTGAAATTTTGGTGCAAGCTTATATATTATGAAAGTTTGGTGCAAGCCAATCTATTTGTGAAAGTTTGGTGCAAGCAATTCCATTAGTGAAAGTTTGGTGCAAGCCATTCTATTAGTGAAAGTTTGGTGCAAGCTATTCTGTTAGTGAAAGTTTGGTGCAAGCCATTCTATTAGTGAAAGTTTGGTGCAAGCCATTCTATTGTGAAAGTTTGGTGCAAGCCATTCTATAAGTGAAAGTTTGGTGCGAGCCATTCTATTTACCCGGGAATTTTTATCCTTATTTTAACTGGCTGATAACAATCCAAGTTGTTGTTCCGACTTTTGAAGAAAGTGACGGATTATTTGTGCTCAAGGTGGTTTTTTCTCCATGCAAATTTCGGCTTTTTTAATAAACCATTTTTTTCGGAGTTTTTTTACCATCTGAAAGGTATTGTTGTCCTGAGCACAAGATTAAAACCTGTGATTTTTTAAAAGATAATGGGGGTTTGAAGATTGCCAGTTTGGGAACTAACACGCGATATATTTTGTGCTTCTAACGCTTAAGCGCCGATATATGCGGTCAAATAATTATTGAACCGAAATTATTTCCTTTCTCTTAAAAATTTTGCATTCTGATTGGTTGAAAATTCGCATCTTGCAATATGCGAAATTACCAAGTGATCTTTATCCCACCTAAATCAATTTGGGGGGGGGGGGGGGTGGGGGGAGGGGAGGGGAGGGGAGGAGAGGAGAGGAGGGAGAGGTAATGGGATTGTTCACATGGTCCAACTGCTCGGCTAAGTTCGAACGTGGGGGATGGGGGAGGGGAGGGGAGGAGAGGAGAGGAGGGAGAGGTAATGGGGATTGTTCACATGGTCCAACTGCTCGGCTAAGTTCGAACGTGCAAATCAGTCTAAATCAGTCTAATTAAGAGGGAAAAAGGATTCTTCAGTTTTAATGTTTCAACTAGCTCTTTCAAAATTGGTTTGGGCAACGAGTCAGTGAATGCTGAGCTAGTAATAATTAAAGATCTTTATCCAGGTACAACATGATGATCCGGTGCTGGCGGGAGAAACCGGAGGAGCGTGCCGACTTCCCTCAGCTACTGACCGCACTCTCCGATGACTCGGAGGAGAATCCTCATTCGTCCCTCATTCAACTCAACAACGACGACAACAGCTCTTCGGGGGAGCAGCACCACACCGAGTGTCCCCCTCCCCCCGTGCCCACGAAGAAGCCAAACAATGCACCTGTGGGTCAGACTGGTCCGAGTCAAAATGTGTTGGGTAGCCAGAGAGGGTCTGTTTCTGGTCAGCAAATGGGATTGGAATCGAACACTTTGTCAAGTAAGATTTTTGACCTTAATAGTTTGGTTCTGGGAGCTTTTAAATTCTTAGATTTGTTATCTAAACTTGGTTTTCTCAAAATGGGTTTTTTAAGTTGGAAAAGAAATGACCCGATTTTTGCAAACTGAAACTTTTTTTCTTAATTTTAACTAAGATTTCATAAAAAGGTTCAAAGATTTATCAATAAATTTATCGTCTGTGTTTTAGGCTCTGAAGCTGGATCCATGAAAAGAAAAATGTCATCTCCGAATATAGTCCAATCGCAATTGAGATAAGAGAAAACGAAAACCGAGATACGAGTGTGAAAAGTAACGAGACCGCAACTTTAAAATTTATTTAATTTTTCAAAAATTTCAAATCGTAAATTGCTCCTTTATAATTTGTTTTGTAATTTTACATCGTTTGCATGCTTTTTAATAGATGAGTCGTGAGATAGCCGATTCTGAACATAAAGCAAATGATTGGCTTTTCAAGAATTTTTTTTGAAAAAAAAAATGGATTATAATCGATTATATTGGATTTAGGGTTGAAAAAAAAATCGATTATATTGTTGAGAAAAATGGATTATAATCGATTATAATGGATTATAATGGATTTAAATTTTTCCAAAGTAATCGATTATAATCGATTATGTGGTCCAAAATTGACATGATAATCGATTATATTGACAACATTTTAGTCAATAAAAATCCATTATAATGATTATAATGGATTGTAATGGATTTAAATTTTTCCAAAATAATCGATAACAAAACTATCAAAACTTTTTTCAAAATCTCTCATGGTTTCTGCCACATCTAAGTTTGATGTTACAAAAAAACATTCAACACTACATCTTTCACTTAAGCCCGACGCAAACTTCAAAGAACTACGCGCAAGCAAAGTACCAATCCAGTTTCAAGACAAGTAAACAGACTTTTCGACATTCTTGAACAATACAAAAAAATCTCACCGGTAAGCGGAAACCGGAAAGAACAACAAATCCAAGGAAACACACTAATTATTTCCATAATTATTCTCTCGAAAAGTGAATCACTACAAAAGTTCTAGATGAACGATACATCAACTCCTTAAATGATGAATCAAATTGCCATTGACCTACAGAACCAAAACAAGTGTTACTTAAAAAAACAAAAGACTAGTAGTATATCACTGACGATAGGAATAGCGCTTACAGCCAAATACCACTAGACAAACAATCACCTCGACTAACACAATTTGTGTCTGGAAATCAACAAAAGCAACTCAAAAGACTGTTCTACGGTATATCCATAAGACCAGCAGCTGTTGGTTATCAGAATCTATTGCATACAACTCCTGAACTAATAACAAAAAAACAACTGTAGAAATATCACGAAAAAAATATTTTTACGCAAAAGACGAAACATCACCACAATTAGAAGGTAAGCACGCAGCAAAAACTGACTCTTATACTAAACAAATAAACTCCTTAGAAAGTTTTCCTTTATATCTTGACTGTCAAAACATTCACTATGAAGTAGATTTATTAGAACAATACCCAAATCTTAGATACCCAAATCTTAGAATACTACTCTCAAGACACAAAAGTACCTTGTCCCCCACTGAACGCATTCCTTATAGGTTTTCATACCTCACATTCCTTACATACAAAAGGGCATGCAGAGTCAGAAAAGAAATTTTTGAATTTTCCGAATGAACCAATATGAATCAAAGTTTTTTGCAAGGATTGTCTAACATGTCAATTAAACGAACGTTTCCGACACCAAAAACAACCAGCAGAAAAGCAAGGTGTTATTGCACAAAGTCTTCAATTGAATCACAGAATTTCTTTTGACACCAAAGGCCCAATATCACCCTCCTCAGACAAAAATTCGTATACAATGGTAACAGTTGATGCATTTACACATTATGTAGCTTTTAACCCTGTACCTCATTGTAATGCCTTTTGTGCTTACACAACATTTTATGAACATTGGATAGCAAAACTTGGATTACCAGAAATCCCTGTCACAGAAAATGGCTTAGAATTCATTATACCTTCTTGCCTTAACAAAATCAAACCTAAGCCCCGAACATTCCCTGCCCCATTGACAATTGGTTTAGTTGAAGGCTTGAACCGCTCACTACAAGAATATTTTCGATGTATATAAACGAAAACGATAAAAAACACACCGAATGGTCAATTGACGTAAAATTTTTTCCACTAGCACAAAATTCTCAAATCACAGCAGCTTTTGGACTATCGCCATGTAAAATGAATTTTGATCAAAAACCTCAAACCAACAATGTTCACAGTAAACTCACCAAAAACCGCACAAGGTTTTTGTCAACCAGCTAATGACTCATTTTGTTATAGTTTACTAATTTTTTAAAACTAGCCTCTGAAACGCATATAGAATGGATTTTAAACAAAGATAAAAAAACATGATGAAAAATATCAAAAAACTGCAAAGAAACTGTTGCAAAGACAAGACGTTCAAACCCATGTGGTCCAACCTAATCACTCAACCTAATAATAGAAACATTTTTAATCCCAAACGTTATCATCCAAAAAAGAAATTAGAAAAACTACAACCTATCCTAAAAGGACCATTTAAATAATCAAAAATCTATAGTTTTCACATATAAACATATCGATCAAAACAAAAAGAACTATAACAACATCGAAATAATCTCTTACCATACTACCCAAAATAATACGCTTTTCGCGAATTAACACAATTGCACTCCTTCTTAGGAACAAAAATCAATGAAAGAACCATATAAAAGATTGTACAACAAAAGACACAAAATTCAAGTCATTTACTTCAGTCACCCGAAATAACTCAAAGCGAAATACCAGCAAAAATTCAAAAGCAAATAGTTCAAAAACAAAGACTTAAACTACATCGTAAACAACAAAAAAAATCCTTTAACCAAAAATATAAGAAAAGTTACATCAACGCCAACTATCTCATCTTAGAAATCAACCAAGAAAAAGTTACAAAACCTCTATTCCACAATCTAAAATAATAAAGAAAGAATAATCTCAGAGACCCCCTGATTAGTTAGACACACTCATCATAATCTTAAGGGAAATTGGAAGCAATTTCTAATTACAATTTTTCTTTTTCTCTCTTGAAATAGCTGGTTCAAAATCAACCAATCAGATTGGCTTAATCTCATCTCATTTCTCTTTAACCATCACCACTATAATTAGCCGATCGGTATATCTCCAACTTGAACTAGATCTACAACTATAACTCAAAGACCTCCTCCAGGTCAAAAAAAGCACTACCCTTATTTTTGACAACTGAAACTAATATCATTTGTAAATTGCAACTACCTTCCATCACTCAAAATGAAAATCAACATTATCAGCTCATTTATACCCCGCTTTTCTCCAAAAGAAAAAAATCAATGAAGCTTGAAGCAAAAATTCATCTTGATGACGTAGCCGATATCCATTCTATCTCTCAGAAGCCCCTAATTATCCAAGAAATAAAAACAAGATTCAGAAAGTTAACACCTAAACACTTCACCAAAAACTCTTCATTTTCAACCCACTTGACAAAAAAAATTCGACAACACTTCCCTTCTACCTCGAAAAAAATTGAAGATTATTTCGATAGAACAAACGGTTTTCAAATTTTTCGTTCAAACTCAAATCAACAAGTTAAAATTTCTCTCATTTTTTTCACATCTTTTTCAACACTATTTCAAATACTATTTCAACAGCATTTTTCTCATCACCGATTTCATAGAACTAGTATTTCTCTATTTTCTAATTTTTCGCAAGCAACAAAAAATTTTCTGTTTCCTAATACAAAACTATCTTTCTCTCTCCAAAACCTTTGACCACCTATTCAGCTACAAAACTTAACGTTTATCTGATTGATACAAAGCCTACTGAGCAAAATAGATACTTTTTTTCTGTTTGTATTTTTTCTCAACTTTCTTGTTTCTTTTTTTTTGACAATTTTCAAATGCAAAAATAGCAATAATCAACTTTGCATTCAGAGCAATTTTGTTCATCAATTTCACAGCAGAAGGTTTTGAAGAGCCTAAACTTAAGTAAAACAAAATAAACAAATATATTTCAAAATTGCTAATTCAGGTCACATAAAGGGTTACCCACCAAACACTGAATCCCAAAATACCCGAAAACACCAACATCTAGCCAAACAATCCAACGCCAACCATCAATACGTATTTCATTTGTGGTAAATTCTTAAACTTTTGAAGAAAGACCAGTACCATTATCCGAACCGTTAATACCAACCATTCGTCAAGCGCCCCTAAGTGAACACATTACGAACTAACATATAACATCTACCCATCACTCCAACAAGAACTTAATAGCTCTAGACACTTAAACTGCAAAAGGAAGACAAATTAATCATCCCGCAGTTCATCCCAAAAAAAATCCATCAGATTATTTAGGATCAACACCAACCTCTGAACAAATTCGAGAAAAACCCTTCACTCCTTCCACTTCATCACAAAGACTCCCAAATTGGATTACACAGAAATTTTCTCAAAGTGAACCTAATTTGGTAAACGACCCAACAAAAATCTCATCAGATACCTCTCTATCGTTACCAGAAACCCTATCACTTCCATCATTAACTTCGGTTACAGGTCGAAACCCATCAAACATATTTCCTGCAAGTTTTTCAAATCATCTAAAGAAGGTGAACTACTAGACACAAATACACCTTTACGATTACACTGAAAATTTTTTTTAAAGCACCCCCTCCACTTTTTGGCCAACACCTCGATAGCAATCAATTCGAGAATTGGGTACTTAAACAGATTTCAATATCGACACGATCTTCTTAAGGATATTCAAGAACATAATATATAAATTATTCACAACATAACTTAGCCCGTAAATTCGAAATCGTAAACTTAAACAATATAGTACTTCAACCATTACTACTACTATCACCACTAAATATAACATCTCAATCCTTACCCCCTCCCTCTATCACAAGAGAACTTTTAAACAAACACGACAAATATACAAAAAAGACCATCGGTAATATCACACTCTATAATCCTTTTTCAGGATTGTAGTACACATGTTTCTCTAATAGTTCTTTTGAATGAACTTTCCTCTTTTAGTACATCTAGAACCTATACCTCAAAAGATCCTTTCTCCCCAAATAGGCTCATAAGAAATGCTTTTCACACATTACATTACTTAAAAATGCAAATAATGAAGTAACACAATGCAATTCTGAACCACAAGACAATGAATCAACATCGATAGTAGCAAAACTCTACTCTAAAGCCTGAGCTACCACTTAAACAGCAAAAAAATTTACAGTCACACTTTCAGAAAAGAAAGTACATTGC